GAAAATGGCTAAAATAGGCTGGAAACAGCTGATCGCCGCGGTAGTGACGCGCTGCAGCCGCGTCGCGACCCTTGGCAGCCTAATCAAGTGCCCGGATGACGAATGTATTTCGCAAATGAAGCGATGCGAGCATCATCATCGGTAGGACTTGTGGGCGGGCGGGCGCGGTGGACGTCCGGGTCGGTGTGTTGCAGCTTGACAGGGCGTTATGGGTGTACGTTCTTTGAAAAAGATGACACGCACGCCTGCTCAGGGACGCCGAAATCTGTCCTGCTAGGCGTATTAGCCCTGCACCTTTCAGGGATTTATTGTGCCACTTGCCTTTAATTTGTTCTTCCTGGTCAGAGCGACATAGAATGTAAAATTCGCATTCAGGGTCTTGCTGGACCCGTTTGCTGATTTGGACGACCTTGTAAAAAGAGACGGCCACTTCTTCTCAAAAGCAGTGTTGTTCGGAAATTCCGTCCGGAGCATGATCAATCTCAGTGGTGGGTGATAACTGACGTCTTTCCCATGTACCATTTAGTCTGCAGATTTTTTTGCGTTTCCATGATTCAGACACCACATCGTTACGTATCCGTCGAAAAGGAAGAAAAATACAGGAACTCAAGTTTTTGGAGCCTACCCGACATTGCATCTATCTTGTTGGCTATTTCAATCAGTTTTTGTGTTTCATGGTTGAGCACTGATGTTCAAATTCTAGAATGAAAATGGGTGGCAGTTTGGTACATATCCGTTCACGCATAGTCGTCCAGGAGCGGGCATAGATGAACAGCCCACTCCCCGTGAAATTACAGCTGGAACAGTGGACGACAACGACGGTAATTGACGAGATATGTCTCTTGATCACTACATTCATAATATCTGCTGATTTACGTATGACGTTAAATAAAAATTTAATTCCTACTTTCAGTTGAATGGCTTAAGTACAGGTTTTGAATGAGGCAACAAGTTCAAAGACTTGAAGAACGATAATTGATACCTGCTCAAAAATAGTAGCAGGGATGCTATATGGTAAAAAAATGAGGAAAAATCGAAGTTAAGCGACCAAAAACCTGCGCAAAACCCTTCACTCTGCACGGCAATGGACGAGGATTTTTGGACGAGTTTCCCGTCGACGTCGTTTCCAATAAGCGCTTCGATGGTTACGGCTGCACATATGTATTTTAACGCTTCATTTATGAAACACAATTGATATGAAGTAAAGTTTGATATTAATTGTGTTTCATAAATGAAGCGTATGCGAGCACAAAAGGTTCGTTGAAAAGATGTGTTAGGTTGTCGCATAAGTTCTTATACACTACTTTTTTGTAAATATCTCAAAAACGAACCAACCTGGTAAGTGCGATACAACTATGTTGAAAAAAGGCGCCACGCAGCAATCTGCGAGGGCATAATGTTTTCTTCCGAACTGGGTGTATCAATCGTATAACGCCTGCAGGATTAGTCGTGAGATTTGTCCAATAAGCACTGTAGGCAGCTTGTTCGCTGCGGACGCAGGGGCGTGGAGGACGACTGTTCGTTTTCCACCACTTGTTGTCGCTTGCCCGCTTCAGCATTCAGTGGAGAACGGCCTAACGCCCGCCAAACCCAATAAGTTCTTCACCAGTCTATATACTATAAGACCATTTTTGGCAAACAATGAGGTGTCATCAAATGCAGTTTTTTTCAGCGGAACTTTCCAGTCTTTCTATGAGATCTGTGACACTTCTGGGCCAGACACCTGTTTCGGATCTCTAGAGATCCGAAACATTGGCTTTGTACTCTTTCCTCTTCAATTTTCAGCTACAGGCATCACTTACGGCAATGCTGGGCGTCATGACATGCAGAATCCGTGAATACTCAAGAGCAGAAAGACCCTGAGACGAAGGGGAGACAGTCTTCAAGACCACAGATGTCGCGTGCGCGACATTTGCTAACAATGTGTGCTTGCAGTGAAGCACAGGCTCGCGATAAACTCATTGCGTTATTGGATTGAATTGTTGTTTGCTTCATCCAGCCATGCTCTTCACTCTGGTAGTACCTGATTTGTCGTGACCCATAGAGGTACGACCGACTATCCTGTTGGAAAAATAGCAGTGAAATGCCGTTGTAAAACCATCGCGAGAGCGCCAACTATACGGTATTTGCAATTGTCGCGCGCGACGCCGCGTAGTCCTGCCATCACGTACCCGAGACACAGACACATCTTGGCGATTAGCTGAACTGGTCTCTCAGCATAGCCACTGCCAGCACAACTCAAGTACGACTCTGTTTAACGTCTATGTCCCTCGTCGATCTTTTTCAGCGTCCAAGTTTACCTTATTCCTTACCTGCCCATAATTCCATTTTATCAAAAACCAGAAGCGTTGAGGAAGTGGGTGACGTAGCAGAAGTAAAAAATCCTCTTTTCACCAAAACGCTGCACCCTTCGCACCGATGCAGAGCCCTCCCAGAAAGATGAACTGAAGCCCCTTAATAGAAATGGGTAACGTAATCATTCAAGACAAAATCCTATTAACAAAAGTGCCCACCCTTTTACCCACCGTTCAGCTCTGTCTTGCAGTAAACGGATTTCAGGAGTGTGACTTCCTAGCGGAGGTAACACATTGCACATCGGTATATGGGAAGCATTTATTTTTTTGTCAATATCAGGAAAGACTGCTCTCCACTGGGCATATTCTGGCTGGCTTCAAATCTTTGCTCTTAAGGAGCTCTTCAGATGCGACCTGCCTCGAAACGGTGACGAAACCAATTGCAGACAAGCACTGGATACCTAAACAAAAACCTAGACACAAATGATTAACAGCGTTGAAGAAAAAGGGAAACGGTCAAGACAATCGCAATCTGTCGCCTCGTCGCCGCGACGTATCGTGTGGCGATGCGCCGTTGATTCTCGATATGTACAGGGGGCCAAAAAAAGACACTTTTCTTCCTCGACTTCCAAGGCGATATAAGTTACACTTTATTAAATTCTGATTGGACATTTCCACCATCATATTCAACAACACATTGTACACTATCACGAAACTCCGCCACAGCCTTCTGGACGAGAATCGAGAGATTCTGCCACGCGACCGTGATTCGGTGCCTGAGTTCAGCGAGATCGTTGATTTCTCCGCCACTGTAGACCACCCTGTTGAACTCCGCCCGAACCAGGTAGCGAAGGGTTCAGGTCAGGTGACACGCTCGGATATTCCGTCTTCATCAGGTACATACTTGACATCCTTCGATTCCAATTAGGCGAGAGTTTTTCCAGCGCCCTTCGACGTGCTGGCACCCAATCCTGTAGCAGTACGAAGTTTCCAAGATGGTACAGGCGACGACATGAAGGCAGGATATTCTCCTCGAGTTGGTCGATGTAACCGTCAGCGTTCACTTTCAGTCCGGGTCCACGAAGAAAATATCGGTCTTCCCATTCCAGGAACTTCCGGTCCATACCATCAACCCGCGCCTTGGCGACTGCGGTGAAGATGATGTCCTGGACCGTAGCGACGTTGTCGGAGCTGCTCGATGTTGGAGGTCTTCCAGATCAAGAGTGCCGGTCTCCAGGTAGCTGTCCATGGGTGACTCCATACAAGAAGTTTCGCAGCTGTTTGGAGGTGACGTGAATTCCATAGGCCTTCTCAGTCAGGCTGCGATTGGAGATGACTTCATATTTTGGTGTACATGAAGGTGATGGGCGAGAGCCAGCTCCTGCTTATCGAGGAACATCTTGGGTATCTTCCGCCCTGGTACTCGTATCCACGTCCTCTGTCTGGGCTGCGAAAACTTTGCTGATATGTGACTCGGTCGAAGTGACTTTTTTTGCCCCCCCCCCCCCTATATATGTACAGGAGATGGATTCGTAACCATCGTCTCGTCGTACGATTCATCGGTTGTTACACTACTCATTTGAAACGGCCTCTTTGACCTGCCATCCTTGTCGGTCTTCAAACAAGACGAAAAGCCTAAAATTACCTGTGAGAAGAAGCATCCAGGAGAATATGGTGAGATGAGGTGAGAAAAAGAAGGCTATGCAGGATGCGCCCGACTGCAAAATGATTTTTAGGCCAAATCCTATGTAGTAAATTTTGCAAGATCATATCACCGTGAGATGCAATGAATTGCGAAGAATTTATAATCTCTACGGAAGCAGTTGGAATGATCATTAAGTTGATTACCTGGTACAGTTTGGCCAATGAGTACGCTTGGAGTCTCTTCCGTGGCAAAGCAATAGTACAAATAACTGCTCGCATTGAACAAGAGCAGCAGTCTATCATTCCATGTAGGAGTCCAATCAAGCAGCAAATTGTTGTACTGGAAAAGGCATTTGACAGGAATGCGTCATGTGCTCTCGCATTTGTAGAGATTCTTGTTCATTCAAATAGTGCATCAGTCAATCTGTTCAATGATCTCTTCTAGGGTGGCTGTTACGGTATTAAAGCTCCGTACCCTCTCGAACGAGCCACCAGTTACACACACCATACACTACTCGCCTTGATGACGCAGATAGAGAATAACCAGAAATGAGAGGGTGCAAACACGTGTCGCGTTTGGCTATGGGCTTTAAGCTTATGGCTGGACGTGAGGCAGCGCGGGTGGATTTGGAGACAGGTCACGTTCTGTCGCTGGGGAAAATTTCCGGAAAATGCGACCCCTAAATTCGTCCTCTGCTATGACCCCTTCCCTCCCATCCTACCTCCCTCTCTTCCCATCTTCTGCGAATCCGTCGAACGGGAGGGGGAGGGCGTGAGTTCTTCCCCAGCCAACGACTAGTCGAAAATAGCAGTTGCATAGCAGATCTGAAGAGCCATCAATTAGGGGAGTAGGAGATTTTTCCGCATGCGACAACTTTCTCACGGAGGCGAATACGACCTCCCCCCTCTTCTCGGCCAACGACAAGCAAATACGGCTCCCCCCCCCCCTTTGAAATTTTCACAGCGTTGTGAGAACAAGAAAAATCAACTATCGAAAAAATTTCTCAACTCAACAACTACCCCTCCCCTCCACTTTCACCCTTCAGCGACGAAATACGACCCCTGAGGTGGAGATTTCGCAACGTAGGACACGCCCTGTATGGAGACGGTATCGGGTATGGCTACCCTCCAGCTCTCATCCGGTGCACTTTTGGCCGGAGGAAGTGGCGCTAACGCAGCTGCAGCATTTTACCAGAACACGGCAAGAATCGCAGGAGGAGCAGCTGTACACTCACCCCCATGTTTCATTATGCAAGGAAGTGAGTGTGCCATTGTCTTCGATCGGAATTGCGCATTTACTGTTTATTTATGGCTCAGAGAAAATCTCCTGGAAATTGTCGAGAAACTCACGATGGGGTGATTAGCATGGAACTGTCGTCGTTTGTCTCTATTGTAGACAAATTTGATGTAGACAGAGCAGTCAGACAATACACGATGGCACTCAAAACCAGCTGTGAAATCATTGTTGGAATAAGTCCGAAATTAAGATATCTTTCGTCGAAGAAAGTGATATAGCAGCCAACTGAAATGTATGCATGACAGACCTATCGCTAGTTTGAGAATCAAGGGGTAACTAGTCATTTGTTTTATTATATTAACCAATTTGGCCAGCGCACGCAGATGTGAGCACACCGTCGCAACAATCAGTGAATGCAAGAAGGTTATAAGACAAAAGCTCCCACAATTAGTATTAAAATCCTTCTTCTAGCCCGCTATTTCCACCAAGTTAGGACCTAAAAAATCCCGCTCCTCCACTGCTACTGCCACGCCAGACCCTTATCGCAAGAACGCTAAGCTATGTGCAAAAGCTTGTCCTTAGATGATGCTAGAACCCGCATCTCATGCCTAGCTTGCAAGCGCGCTGTCCGTTACGCCAACGAAACTGCCTCTAACCATCAGGGTACAGCATCGTAATGTGTGAGATGGTGGTGTCAGTATGATCCCTCTCCCTCGGAGGATGATCTCTTTGCGATCCCCCACACCTCAGGGAGGGTCTTGGTACGAGCCCCCCCTTTCCCAACTCCTACCTACCACTTTCCTACAAGTTTCCAGCTTCCTATTCCTACCAGTTTTTTTACCCAAAAATTCTCCCTGGGGCGGGAGGGAGTTAAATTGCACATGTGAAACGTGGAAAGCCGCGAGGAAAATTTCTCAATTTCTTGGATTTTCCCCAAATTCCTGCCTTTTTCTCCTGAATTTCTCGGAAATTTCCCACCTTTCCCCAGAAGTTTTGTTGTCTAGTGGCGAGAGGGAGAAAGGGGGGGGGGGGAAAGATATAGCATATGTGAAACGAGAAAAAATCGCGAAACGTCAATAACCGAACTGGAAACTTTTCCAGCACCGGGCAAACTTTCTGCTCAAAGGCACATAGGACCCCCCCACCGCACAAGTGCGCCCCGCTCCCCATGTGTTTCCATCACACAACGATGATGTAGCCCGTTGGCTAACTATCTTGGCTTTGATGGCTTTTTAGCCTTGCAGGCCTTCAAGCGCAGGCGACTAGCCTTGCGCACCAGTTGCAAAGGTCCGGTCTACCCGACCGTACGGGAAGCATCTAAACATAACTACTCTTGCTATTGTCGCCCGTCCTTTCAGCCTGTTAAGGAGGCAATGGGGCACCATTAGATGGACAGGGGTGTTGAAAGCCTCTGTAAGCGTGACGCAGCATGAAATTATCGCTTGAGCCGAACACTTTTTCAAAGTGAGTCCTGGTGGGAAGCAAAGCGCGAACTGGAAAAGAAGAATGTGTTCACGTCAGATCAGCTCATATGGTTCTCTCAAACTCTTCCTCGGCGCAAATCGGCGACGGGGGGGGGCATTTGACACTTTCGCTGCTGCACTAGTTCCGGTTTGCATACCTCACAGTGATGGGACCTGTGAACTGCTGTGAAGCTGAAGCAAGCGTCCGAGCCACCGTGGTGAATTTTGTCAACTCACGAAAAGGCCCTCTAGATGGGCATCTCTAGGTGGGTCGAATACGTAAGGCTGCGTTTATACTTTGCGGCAGCGTAGCGTAGCGTAGCGCAGCGTAGCGTAGCGCTTCCAGCGTACGCCAGCGGCAGTGCCGAAGAGAGGATGCATATCGATCTAGCTTCACCAGCGTCACCAGCGGCACGCTGGCGTACGCTAGCGTACGCCAGCGTTTCTCCAGCGTTTCACCAGCGTTTTGCTAGCGCTTGCAGCGGCAGGGGAGTAGAGACTATGTGGCCGTGAGAGAAGCGGAATCGACGTGTATTGTAGAGACCATATGGCCGTCGGAGACGCAGAAGCGATGTGCATTGTAGAGACTATGTGGCCGTCGGAGACGCAGAAGCAATGTGCATCGTAGAGACTATGGGGCCGTCGGAGACGCAGAAGCGATGTGCATTGTAGAGACTAAGGGCGAGTGAGAGACGCGCAATCGATGTGTTTTGTACCCTCCAGCTCTCCCATAGTCTCTACTCCCCTGCCGCTGCAAACGCTAGCAAAACGCTGGTGAAACGCTGGAGAAACGCTGGCGTACGCTAGCGTGCCGCTGGTGACGCTGGTGAAGCTAGATCGATATGCATCCTCTCTTCGGCACTGCCGCTGGCGTACGCTGGAAGCGCTACGCTACGCTGCGCTACGCTACGCTACGCTGCCGCAAAGTATAAACGCAGCCTATGGAAAGTAGCAGACAGTGGAATATGCCCCTCCTTCGTCGAACTGCGCCCTCTACCTCTCATCTTCTGAACGCACTTCGACTTCCTTTTCTTCCTCGTTTTCAGAAGCCCCTCAGTCCTATGCTGCTGTTTACACTTGCGCATCTTTTTCTCTTTTGTTTTCCCTTTCCTGTCTGAATAGAACTGTTCATCGATCACGATCTTCACTAGAGCAGCCCAGCTTACTTACTTCCTTTTCCGCCCTATCTTCTTTTTTACTTCATACTTTTCCCAACCTTCTTCTTCCACTTGTATATGCGACAGAAACTGAATGCAGGAACATCAAAGGCACATTCCACGGTGACCGGATGGGCGGGAAGCGGGAGCAAGCTCATAATGACTTGCATTCCTCGCTTGCGCTTCGCCTCGCCTACTACCACAAGGAGACAGGGTGCGCCAATGACTAAGACTTTATAGTTCCGCCATTGATATCTTCGCCCATCTCCTTGCCGCGAAATGAGCCTTATACATAATGAACAATGTATTTCTTTCACTAACCCTACTAAATCATTCTTCTTGGTTAGTTCGTCGCCTAAAAACAGTTGCTTCGAAAGCTCTTCGCAAATTTCACCGTAGAGGCGAAGACGATTGTGAAGACCAAACTCACCAATGATGTTACCAATTCCAACCATTGCGCTATAATATGCCGGGAGATAGATATTTGTCGACAGCATTTTCGAGAATGCGAACGTTGTCGGATAGGCGGCCAGCCAGTAGGAGACGTGAAATCCATAGAAAAGAAAGAAAGATGATAGGAGAAGCATCTTCGGTTCTCGTGCTGTATCCATGAGTTGGCCTCAAAATAGTTCCCTTATTTTGTGGTGAATTCCTTTTCAAAGTTCAACTGATTGAGAAGATAGGTAGTAGGTGCTGGTCTATACTTTTGAGGTGCAGAACGCAATCTTCAAGTGATATATTCGCAGTCAGTCAGAGCGGTGTAGGAGGCATGGAACGG